GACTTGGACGTGTTTTCAGTTCAAAGAGTTACACGGGGCACAGAGGTGTGCGAGTCGCTTCGAAATCAAATCGAATCGAATGATAGGATGATTCACGAATAATTCGACGATTTCGAGTCGTCGACGACTCGATCTCAAATCGGTCACTTCTTTCCTCTAATAAATATAATAATTTTTTAGATGTATCAATACAATCAGTTTTAAAACGCGCAATGCCATTGAGAGAACGGTCAAGTCTAATTTCAAATCAATATACATATGGGCTGCTTTCCTTTTAGAGAACACAGTCGGCATTTTTTACACAAATCGACACTTTTCGACTCTGCTCGGGGAGGAGAGTGCGTTTTTGAACGCATCCGCTCCGAGTATTTCGATAGAATCTTTCTCCGACGGAACCTCTTCTTAAAAACCCCGTTCTTTAAACCTATGCTGTCTTTCACAATGGCAAACTGTGCTCGGTTGTATCAACTTGTGTCGATTTCCCAGGGAGAAATGATTCGTCGATCGATGTCGAAACAATGTCGAATATCGACGCCTTCAAATTGGTGCCGATCGACGTCAATTTGACGGTGCGGATGTCGATACGACATCGTTTCGACATCGATCGACGAGCCATTTCTCGCTGGGTTGTGTCTCCTAAAAGGAAAGTCGTAATGAGCCTAGGAAAGATTGATTCGAATATGAACAGATCTAATCCACACACCCACAGAAAACATTTCCGGATCCAATGATATTACACTTCAATGTATCACAAAATAGGATCGACATAGCACTAATTATATTTATTATAGAGAAAGGAATATTTTAATCTTACTAGAAATGACAAAAGGCGCGCTTCGCGCGCGCAGTTTGTAGTTGAGCGATGTGTATTTTTAAGAATTTGTATACACGCAATTAAGTAATTGTACGCGCAACGTCGATTTAAAATAAAAAGTAATTTAACACTCACTGGTACGATTCGCAACAGCAGAGGTGTACATCGTCAATTACATATGTCAAACTGTAAAAATACAAATATGTATAAAATTGAAATTATTGTATTAAATATAGTTTATATTTTGTATTTTTAAAATGGGCATTTATTAAAATAATTAAAATACTGAATAATTAAAATAAATAGAATACTGAAAAAGTCTTCTTTTTAAATATAAACTCGCGAAATTTTATACGTATGGTATTTTGTCTTTAATACTTATTCGAATCCTCGTTTGAATCATTTGAATGAATAAAATAAAAACACAGAACAGATGCTTTATTTTGCACAAATAGTAAAATAACATTAAAATGTAAGACACTTACCTCACCCTTTTTCCGCCGTTGCCCGATGCCTCCACGGCCTCCTCCTCCTCTCAGATTTTCTTGATGCACCCACACTCACTCGCGAAAATCATCGATCGCGCGAAATTTCGGACACTCCCGTACGCGACGTGAAATATTATTATACCGCGAAACGCACGAAATATTATTAAGAAATATCGCATGACTTTCTAACAACTTGCATTGTTGATTCGGAAGAATAGGATAATGGATAAAACACTTTTGAATTGGCGACATAAAACGCAACGCGAGCATCGGAAACATAATCTGCGGTAAAGTAGTTATTGGTCTACAACGAAACGATACTTTACAGTCTTTGTCATTCAATCTAATCCTCGAAATAAATTATGTGAACGAAATTTCCAGCGATAAACAGTTATTACTTGCAACAGTTAATCGAGATACTTTATTATTACATTTACATAATGTAACGACGTGCGATAAGCAACTTTCTTTACTTCCTGCCCGTTCGAGTCGCGAAGAACGACAGAGCGAATTACAGCGCGAACACCGAAGACGTACAAATTTCTCTCTTTTCCCGAAAATGAAACAGATTACACGAAATCGATAGATAATTAAAAGCGCGGTGCGTAAACGAGATATAACCGCGACACAGTACCACGGTTTACCTTCATATTTCAGATGAGTTGGTCTCGTGAAATATCTATGTGTGCGTAGATAAAGAGCCGTCGCCTCAACACGCAATTCGTTTCACATTACAACTTGTAGAAAATTAATAATTGATCGAGGAACGTCACTTGTCACTGATAAAGGTGTGCAAATCAATAGCGTTTTATCCTTACATTTATCGCGATCGAGTTTTGGAAACCGATAACGCAAATACCACGTACGGAGCGACTCACACCACTCACTGCCTGCCGGCCCGACTTTCGAGCTGATCGCGCAGCGACCTTCGCGTAAACAATAGTACGGAATTTTCTGTTACGTAGCGGGCCAACGAATTCCTAACGTTTTTTTTGTTGTTTTTCACTCGGCGCGGTGACGTACGATGTTTTTGCGTGCCATCATTGTACTGAAAGTCGCTGCGTTCTCACTCGCTCGCCGAACGTCGAGCCGGCAGGCTGTAGCGAGAGTCGCTCCGTGCGTGGTATTATTTTTGTGTTAACGGTTTCCAAGACTCGATCGTGAAGAATTGTGAGGATAAAACGCTAGTGATTTGTGCATCTTCATCAGTGACAAGTAACGTTACTCGATTAATTATTCAATTTCTACAACTTGTGAGAAACGAATTGCGTGTTGAGGCGACGGCTCTTCAACGTGTTGTACTATAGATATTTCACGATACCAACTCGTCTAAAACATGAATGTGAACCGTGGCACTTTGTCGCGGTTACATCTCGTTTACGCGCCGCGCTTTTAATTATCTGTCGATTTCGTGTAATCTGTTGCATTTCCGGGAAGAGAGAGAAATTTGTGCGACTTCGGCGTTCGCGCTGTAATTCGCTCTGTCGTTCTTGGCAACTCGAACGGACAAGAAGTAAAGAAAGTCGCTTATCGCACGTCGTTACAATATGTAAATGTAATCAAAAATTATCTCGATTGACTGTTGCAATTAATAACACATATTTTATTCGAGGATTAGACTGAATGACAAAGACTGTAAAGTATCGTTTCGTTGCAGACTAATTTAACTACTTCTTTACCGCAGATTGTGCTTCCGATGCTCGCGTTGCGTTTCATATCGCCAATTCAAAAGTGTTTTATCCATTATCCTATTCTTCCGAATCAAAAATGCAAGTTGTTAGTTGGAGAACTTTGTATGATAGAAAATCACGCGATATTTCTTAATAATATTTCGTGCGTTTCGCGGTATTTCACGTCGCGTACGGGAGTGTCCGAAATTTCGCGCGATCGATGATTTTCGCGAGTGAGTGTGAGTGCATCAAGAAAATCGGAGAGGAGGAGGAGGCCGTGCAGGCATCGGGCAACGGCGGAAAAAGGGTGAGGTAAGTGTCTTACATTTTGATGTTATTTTACTATTTGTGCAAAATAAAGTCTGTTCTGTGTTTTTATTTTATTCATTCAAATGATTCGAACGAGGATTCGAATAAGTGTTAAAGACAAACTACCATACGTATAAAATTTCGCGAGTTTATATTTAAAAAGAAGACTTTTTCAGTATTCTATAATTATTTTAATAAATACCCATTTAGAAAAATACAAAATATAAACTATATTTAATACAATCATTTCAATTTTACACAATTCTATAATAATCATGTACATATTTGTATTTTTGCAGTTTGACATATACCATATAATTGACGATGTACACCTCTGCTGTTGCGAATCGTATCAGTGAGTGTTAAATTACATTTTATTTTAAATTGTCGTTGCGCGTACAATTACTTATTTGCGTGTATACAAATTCTTAAAAGTATACATTGCTCGGCTACAAACTGCGCGCGCGAATGCGTGCTCTAATTACTTATTTGAGTGTATACAAATTCTTAAAAGTATACATTGCTCGACTACAAACTGCGCGCGCGAATGCGTGCTCTAATGGCACACGCAATTCTAAACTCCACACAATTCTAAGCTCCACACAATTCTAAACTCCACACAATTCTAAACTCCACACTCAATTCTTCTTTTCACGCAACGTTTGCGATTAATACAGCTCTGCGTGCGAGCGTCCGTGACGCTTCGTCAAGCTCGAACGTTCGCGCGGCTCAACTCTCTCCCCGCGGGTTATTGTATTTCAAAACGCGTCAAACGCTTAAGTCGGTAATTACGGGTAAGTTGACGAGCGAGATAATTCCTCAGGCGTCCTCCGTGAACCGTCGTTCCGAGGGGCTCGAAAGTCTCGGCGCGAGTAAACGCGCGGTTTAGCTTGCAGGCTCGGTTATTCGTACGACACCCGCCATCAGTATGCAAATCGAATGTCGCGCCACCGAGCGAGCTTCCCGCGCGATTGTCTCACGGGTGTCATGGCGTCGGCGGTGCGCGGCCGCGAGTATCGTCGCCGTGTCTTCTCACTTTTTCCGGGTAAGTTTCGTCCGCGGGTGCTCGCCGTGAGTGCTGAGCGTCCAGCGCGGACGATCGCCGCCTCGGCCGGCGATCAACGGCCGTCGCTTCGCGAGACGCGTACAAACGTTCGTCGTCGAAAGGTCTCGCGCGCGCGCGCGCGCGCGGGCGCGAGACGCGTATTCAGTGCCGGGCGCCGCTTGAAGAGTCGCGTCGTGTTTTTCGGAGTTAATCGGTTGCATTTGTTGTCGACCTACGAGGGCTATCGAAGACACCGCCCGCGCGAGTGCCCGCGTCCCGGCGCCGTGCAATATTCGCCGTCGAGGCGTCGAGGGGCGAGCGCGAATTCGAGGCGCCACGACGCCACCGCCATC